AAGCTTCTTTTGATGACACTTGATCTTCTTGATCTGACTTTGGTGCTTTTTGTTCGAGGGCTGCTTCGAATTTGGCCACACAGGCCTTACATTATGGTTGACCGTTGAACATTCTGAAACCAAGTTCAAGGTTTTGAGAGCAAAGGAATTGAATCTCGAGGCTGAGAGCTATCCTAGGCTACACAATGTCAAGAGCGATTCCACACAGGTCTTTGCAGGACCGTGCAAAATTTTTTTTGAAATCTTTTAAGAAAACGACGAATCGCTCGCACTGAAGACAAGGTAGAATCGATCTGGATCAAGCTATGATCCTTCTCAGTATTGATATTAACAACCATGATTTCAATCATTAAGGGCTTAGCATGCCTCTCTTTCTCTCAATTGATCAAAAGCCAAGGAATTCCTTCCTTTTCGTTTTCATCACAATGTTCAAAAAGGTTTTGAAAAACTTAGGTCAATACAATGAGTTCAAAGCACAAAAAAGTAAGTGAAAAGCACTGCCACTTCGTTCTGAACATTGTTGGCACAACAGGCTAAAAGTAGCAACAAGCACAAAGGCATGACAGCCACAACTGTTTCAATCAGATTTCTCGATTGCAACTGGCTCCACAGCAAAGACAGACTCAAAAGAAAGGAAAAGACAAGCACAAAAACGACAATGGTGTCCGAGGTGACAACCCCGGGATCACCCGACTCCTGTACAACAGGACTGACTCGATACAACAAGACAGACCTTTAAGCAAAAAGTCTGACTCAAAATAAAGAGACAGACTCAAAATAAAACCACGGAACTAACTCAACACCCGAGTCAGAAACTACAAAAACTGGCATTTGCGAACGCTCAAAATGGTGCGTGCCATACGCTACATCTGAAGTAAACCGAGCATCGCCCGCAGGTGGGCCAACCCCTGATCACATACTTGTGTTATCTTCAAAATCCACCAATCCGGTGCTGACAGACTTTGCCGAGCTCGGCGGGAGGATGACTTCATTGTCAATCAAATCTTGCACTTCGTGGCGAAGGCGGAAGAAGTTGTCGGTGGTGTGACCGGTCTGTTGGTGGTACGCACAGTACTGGGTAGCATCATGACCCGGTGGAAGATGAGCAGGGAGAGGCCGAGGCTCAAGGGGTTTAAGGTGTTCCTTTTCAGCAAGAACTTGAAGCGCCTTAGACAAAGGCATGTAGAGGGCATGAAAAACCCTGCGCCCTCGAGGCAGGTACTTCGAAGTCTGTGGATTTTTGCTGGGCTCACTAGCAAAAGGATCAGCAGGTGCTGCCTTGGCTCTCTGATCTTTCCTAAGTACAGGGTTAGAATGGGAAAGAACTCTTCGGCTATGACGGGCCCTATCCTGATTTTCCCTTTGGCTTGTACTGCTCTCGGCTTGAGTAGGGAAGACATCATCCACAGTCTTAGCCACGACCGAGAGTACTTACTGCTTATTCAATCCCCCGACTTTCAGAGCCTCAACGGCTTGCTGGAGTTGTGCATAGGGATCTGCGTCTGGCTTCGTTTTTTCCTTTTTACTAGCCTCAGCTTGGTGGACAGTTTGGGTTGCCTGATCAGAGTGAGGCCTAGGTCTTGTTGACATATCATTGCCGGAGCTCAAGACAGCTTCCGGTTGGCTGAGCTCAATTACAATTTGCCCCAGTAGCGGGGGCTCCTGCGGCATGAAATTCCCGGCATACGATGCGGTTGGTGGCGAAGCCGACATCCCGTAGACTAGGTCAGCCACAGATCTCTGGAGGTCACCGATTATTCCCATTAACTCAAATGTGGTGGGTTCGCGAGCTTGAAACAACTGGGGTTCCCAGATCGGGTGCGCAGCAAGCGACCTGGGTGGGTGTGGTATCTCAACATCGGTCTCACATTGTAAGATGATCCCTTGGTTTAGTGCGGCTGCCATAACCACAACATCCTCTGAATTCTGTGACATCATGAATCCGCTGAACTGAACGGAGGTGATGTGACTGGTGACTTGATTGATCAGATATCTACCTTGCTTCGGCGAAGGAGAACACTGGCTATTTTGAACTCAGATCTCTGAAACCCCCCTTCTCCTGAAAGAGAAAACAGGCAGCGCCTCAGCCCAATTTTACCCAAACAATCATAAGCACAACTGAATAACGGTATTTGATCACTGATCACTGTTCCCCAAAACTACTGCCCCAAAACTGAGTCTGATACCCGCAGATATAACTGATTCTCAATACACTGAACTGATGCCCGCAGGCCTGATGCCCAGACTTGCAAACGGATATGTGCATTCCTGTAGAGGTTAACTCAAAAAGCACATAACAAACAAGTAAGAGCCAAAACACCCCTATGTTGGGGTAGGGCTTCATTGTCCTATTTTGTCAGGAGCTTAGGTTTCACTACGCACGCAGCGGTTTCAAACAACCTACAATCGGGTAAGCAACCTGTCCTAGCTTGGAATGGTCACTATGGATTCCGAATATGCACTAGGTCGAATGGTCAAAAAGGGTGCCCCGGCAACAACCGGGGTTTGTGTTCCCATCGTGGCAGAGCCCGTAACCGGTCAGCCTTATGGCACGCTTCTCAAAGTGAGCCTCTGGTAAACCGTTCAGGAATAGCAGACGGCAAACACGGTTTTTTAGGCGCACCAATGCAAATGCAATGCAAAGAGACACATAAGTGTAGTAAAAAACGAGATATCATGAGTTCAAGTCAAGTTCTCCAAACTCCCCGGCAGAGTCGCCAGAAACTGTAGACGTCCCTTGAATGTCCCAGGAGGGAATCCCGTCACGTTCATTGGGCTCACTACAGTTCAGGACTCAAATTGTCACGGTTCTTAATCTGATCTCACAATGTGCGATGTGAGATTGATAAATCACCAAAGAGTCCAAATCCGACAAATCGTTTTGGAAAACAAATTTTTAAGAAAGAAGTGCCAAACATGGACTGCTTGCTAGATACAGAGTCACCACCTAAATATTTTGTTTTGGGAGAATTTAGGAAACCATGACTCGTTAACTAAGGCCACATGTCCGTCATCACCAAAGTTGCCTCGGCTCCGGAACTTGGGTACGATTGGGGAAGGTCAGCTATGAGCACCCCCGCTCGCCCGATCCGAAGATCGGCCTGTACTAAGCATGATATCTAGTTTTGAAAACATTATGCGTTCTTATTCCGGTTAATTAGCTAGAATTACTATGTGATGCGCACAACAAAACAAGTATAGACTAGATAGCCTAAGTTGGAACAATGCATCGCATATCTGTGTGTTTTGAAAATGGATTGAAGTTTGCTACTCGCAAGTAGGCTAAAACACGGATTTCGACGAATCATTCCAATTCAAGTAACCCAACTTTCACCCACAGGCATTCAGGCAATTAATTAACTAAGCAGATAGCCTCATGGTAAGCATGCTGTCATGGCAACACTCACACACAAGTAAGGATGCCAAAGCATAAACGCTTACCTAGTACTCCGAGCCAAAACAAGGAACATGTTAGCAATCAAATGTATGATCCAAGTCCATGTTAAGATGGCTAATGCATTGCATACAAAATGCAACTAGAATAGGCTCAGCTAATCTAAGGATGGCATGTGAAATGCAGCAACTCGATACACGTATTCAACTTGGAATTTGGAATACTATGTAGTTAGTATGATGCGCCGAGCCCGGTGCATGCAGTACAGATGAATGACGCAAACATGCATATCATAAGGATGCTAATCAAAACATGCCCTAGAACTAACCATCATAAGCGGTTAAGTAAAAGGGAGAAAGAACTGGTGGTTGGAAGGCATGCATCACACACACACACGCTTATTACAAAATTGCCCTCTCTCGGAGGGTCCGAATGAATAATACAAATTAATTAACTAACAGGCTAATTAAATATTACGGACCCTTAATTAATTAAACAAATTAATTAAATTTTTGAAAGTAGTAAAACAGCCTCGGGAAGAGGAACGAATGCACGCATGTTCGGCTCTGCTCGGAAATCCATCGCCATGCCACAGTTGCCTCTGTTTACACTGCTCTGCACCTCTGAAGACTGCACAAGTCCTAAGGATGTTTTAGAATCACTCCCTGATCATTGTGGGATGCCACCGGCCAAGAGGAATGATCACCAGCCATTGAAAAGTGGTCATCGACCAGTTGTGGGGACATCGGCCAACAATTCATGGCCGGCCGGCACTGAATGTGGTCGGTCGGCCATCTTTTCCTGCAGAACCTTGTTTGACAGCAGCAGAGGACTGATAAGACATGGCAATGCATTTCAAAGCAATGTTTGCACCACCATGTAGACGTCCCCGAACGCCCCGGGAGGATGAGTCCCGTTCTGTTCGTTTGGGCTCACTACAGTTCGAACTCTCGAATTGTCACGGTTCCTAATCTGAACCAAAGAGTCCAAATCTGGCATGCGATGTGCTAAAGCATGAAAAATACTTACATCGTACTCCGTGCCAAAACAGAGAACTCATTAGTAATCAATGCATGATCCAAGTCCATGTTTTTAAATGTCTAATGCAACACATACAGGATGCATTTAGAGTAGGCTCGGCTAACCTAGACATCGCATATGAAATACGATCAATTGATGCACGTATTCAACTTGAAATTTAAGTACAAATGCAGTTAGCATGATGTACCGAGCCTGGTGTATGCAAGACAAATGTATGGATGCACGCATACATAGCATAAGGTATGCTAATTTAAACATGACCTATTACTGACCATCAAAGCAGGTAAGTAAAAGGGAAGAAAGAAGTGGGGATTGGAAGACATGCACACACACGCACCCACACTTATTACAGATTTGCCCTCGCTCGGAGGGACCGAAAGAATATTACAAATTGAATAATGAATTAACTATCTTAGCTAATTAATTATTACAAATTACCTAATTAGTTAACAAACTAACTAAGCTAGGAAAAACAGTAAACCGCCTCGGGAAGAGAGCTGATGACTGTAACAGCTTCAGCCTTCTATATGTTGTTCTTGTTGTTATGTGTGCATAATGTACCTTAGCTTTGTTGTTCCATTTTCAAAAAATGTAGAGCATCAGATCGAGAGTGTCTTGCTGGTGCAACCAATCTAGTTATTACCATCTTTATGATGATTTGATGACTCCATATCTTGCAACTGTTTGTTATTCTTTTGTTAACAACTCCATGCTATTAGATTAATCTGTCATTGAATGTTGTGGGCAAACAAATCAGAATGAATTTCCTTAAGTGTCAAAATACTAGTGACTTCTTGTTTTTCTATCTGTAATCTCAATTATTTGCATTAGGTTCAAGAAATGCTTCCAACTATGAACAAAACTTCAGTGCTGCGAAGCCTGAAAGATCATCTCCACCAGTGCCCAAGCAAGTTGTCTGAGGAAATGGTTAGGTGTATGGCTGCTGTCTACTGCTGGCTTGGTAGTTCAGTCTCTGCAAATCCAACAACATTAAAACGAAGTGGTATCAGTGAGGATAGGGACTGGTCTTGCAAATCCATGGTTGAAATATCTTCAATATCAACTGATAAGAACCACTTCTCTCGTGCATCTTATGCCATTAACAACTACAGGTACCCTTCCTTATTAAAAAGTGGTGCAAAAAGGTGGGGAACAAAAAAAGGAATTCAACAGTGTTGATTTTCTCTTTCCCCATGTGTGGAGGAATTTAAAATGTCCAATAGGGTGTGAATTGAATCAAGGTTCACTTGAAACCTGTTGAATAGCTTGATATACATTGTTGGGCCCATTTGCTAATTGCTTAATTGGTGATTTAACATGGTATTAGAGCCTAGGTTGGGGGGAGGTCTTGGGTTCAAGTCTCTCCATTTGCATTTGGTCCCGTTTGGCATTCTTTCTTCTGTTTGGTGACTTAACAAAACCCTCCCGTTTTCCTCATGTTTAAACTATAAATACCATTTGAGTCCAAATCCAGGCTTCGAACGGTCCATTCCCAAACAAATTCCTGCAGCTCTGGAAGTAAAAAGAAGAATCTTTAGATTGCCTAGGGTTTTGAACTTGTAAGTTCTTAGGGTGCAAATCAGATCTGATCCAATCCGTGGGAGGTTTCATGCTAATCCTGGTTCCAGTTCAGGTCAGATGATTTTATTATAGGAACACAGATTGAATTTATTGAAAAATGAACATAGTTTGCAGTTCAGGTCAGATGAACATAGGTTGAATTTATTGAAAGATCAAGAGGAAGGCCAAAAAAACTTAGGTTGAGGCTATGAAAAAGGATATGATTTGGATTTAATTATGTAAATGGATTTACATAGAGCATGGGGACAAAGATGATCCCTTGTAGTTGATATTAAGAGGTTGTGATCAAAGCTTTTTGAGTTGAGTAGACCAGTCCAGATGGTTCTAAACCCCAACTTCCTCCCTACCGGACCCCAAAAGAGAGACTCTTATGATTATGGCATACTGTTTGGATGCAAAGGTTGTTAATATTTATTTCTTCTTTTCTAAATCAGAGTTCTTGTGGAACAACTGGAAAAGGTGAATGTGGCACAGATGGAAACCAATGCCAAGATTGCATTTTGGGTCAACACTTACAATTCTCTCGTCATGCATGTAAAGATCGATAACTGGTAAATAGTTTGCTTTTTCTATTTATGCTCATATGGATCATTTTATATCTCTCTGGTATGACTTGTGCAGGCATATTTAGCGTATGGTATACCCCACAGCTCTTTAAGAAGGCTAGCTTTGTTTCACAAGGTAGTGCACTTTTTTTGGTTTCCATTTGGAAATTCATTCTTTAATACATTTTCACAGATTGGGCTTCTATATTTTGCACACATCTTATCTTATATTATGGCCATGGGTGAAAAGATTGTTATAATGTATTGAGAGACAGAGACAGAGAAAGAGAGTCGCAAAAATCTGATGAGGCTCTTTAGCTGTCTTATTTCATTCCCCATCCATCAAGCATTATTTCTAATGCTGCAAAATACCACAGGTTTAGTGAAACAAGGTGTAAACAAATTTTCTCAGTCTAATTGAAATATATTTTGGTGCAGGGTTTCTTCTTTCTTTCGGTTGCATTTGGTTGACTGTGTAAAATTACTTTTTCTTTTCATTGGAGGACGACTCTTCCTCTATGATATACTTTCATTCTCTGATTTCAAAAGGAAATGTTTTTGATCTTCTCAATTTTATCAAGTTTCCATTTCAAACCGTATTCTTCCTACATACTAAGCCTTGACGTGGACAACATTTATTAGAGAACAGCATCCAAGAATCTCCAATTTCCTTTTCAAGTGAATCCTTAATTTCATGTTACAATTTTTTATTGAACTAGAATCACCAATAAGTCAGTTTTGACCTAAATCTTGGAGCTCAATTTAGGACCACATGAGCCAAAGTTGTGAAGACAAGACTGCACTCAAAAGTGTTTGTTGGGCTGGGAATCGTCATCTAAGTTTTGCCCATCCTTGAGTCTTACCTCCTTTATATGTTCATATCTAAAATTTGATAGGTTTCTTTTGTGTAGTGCAGGCTGCTTACAACATCAGTGGCCACATCGTAAGTGCAAATGCCATAGAGCAGTCAATATTCTGCTTCCGTACACCTCGAGTTGGACGGGTACTACCATGCTCCCTCTAAAGCTAACATAGATGTGGTGGCAATTCATGAATGTTGGGGCCTGTTTAGTACTGTTTTCATTTTTTATGTTTTTGTTTTCGTAACAAAAACACTGAAAAGTTTTAAAACACAATCTTCTTTTCATTTTTATGCGAAAAAAGTTTTCGACAATTTAGAAAACTTATCAAAAGTGTTTCCTAAAAGGGGATTTTTTAGAAAAAAAAAGTTCTTAGAACATAGAAACCAAAAATGAAAAAACACCAACCTCCTTATTGTCTATAGAAAAATAATTAGGTTGAATTGCCATTAATTGCCTCACATGAACTGACTTGTGCACCAGCCATCTTATAGGTTTTATGATTTATCTGAGTTCTGACCCACTTAGCATTTTTATGATGTGCTGTGGGTTGTATGGAGACATATACGAACTTAAGTCTTGATTTGCAGAAAAATAAAATATTAGTTATCTGTGCATTATTAATATTAACATCTATTCTTTTGCATGAATTACAGTGGTTTGAGATTGTCCTGTCAAGTGCCATGAGGAAAAGATCTGGAGAAGAAAGACAACGCATCAGCTCAAAATTTGGTCTTCGTAATTCCCAATCCCTTGTTTGCTTCGCTCTTTGTACTGGAGCTTTTTCTGATCCTGCGGTAACTCCTTGCCTCCTTTACATGTTCCTTTTATTTTCGCGTCATATTGTGTCTAAAATATCACGAGTTTAAAACTTCTTGTCAGACGTTATCGATTAATGATTGTGATGCATGTATATTACATACCTTTTTCTTTTTCTTGTTTTGATTGGGAATGTGAAATTTTCCATTGTCATGGGATGTGCCTGCACGTTCAAACAGAATTTGATTTGTTAATCTGAGGTTGTTTCATACAACCTTGATTGCTACTACTGATCACCAGAATGAGTAGCAAATCTATAAATTGTAGGTTAACTTTTCAACCTCAAAACACATTCTATTTGTTGGAAAACAAGTGAAATAGGAAGTTCTGATATTTATTTTAAAAAGCGCTATTCCTAAACGTATTTAAATTTGTAGGCTTCGGGTTCTTAATACTTTAAATTGTTAGAGAGGGGGAGGGTTAATGCTTGATAGGTGCAAATTCACTTTGTTTTGATTGTAATCATTGTTTTGAAGTTATTTTTTTCAAACTTGCACTGTGTTTCAAATTAATGGAGCATGCGTCCCCTATGTGTCCAAATTGTGTGCAGTTTTAAAAAGATTAAAAACATAGAAGTACATATTTGGATGTGTGTCCAATATGTGTTTTGGACCATGTCTGATGACTATTGGTGTCCAACGTGTCCCACATGGATTGATAAGTAGGGTGGGTAACATGTCAACACCTATACACACACACACACACAAAAAAATAATAATAATAAATAAGAAGATAATAAATAAATAGTAGTTGGTAGTATGTATGATTCTTTAAATTTTAGGAAATTAGCTCGCAATTGCAATATTTATAATTGATGGTATCTTTATCTTCTTTCAAAATACATGTGACTTCAAACACAAAAAGTCCTAAAAATAGACTTGGTAATTTTATTTATTTATTTAATTTTTGTAGCTTAAAGTCTACACGGCATCAAATGTTAAAGATGAGCTAGAAGTAGCAAAAAGGGAGTTTCTTCAAGCAAAGGTGGTTGTCAAGAAGTCAAAGAAAGTGTTTCTGCCAAAGGTGCTTGAAAGATTTGTGAAGGAAGCCTCTATCGCCTCTGATGATCTTATCAACTGGGTTGCTGAAAATGTTGACAAGAAGCTTCGTGACTCAATACTGAAAAGCATTGATCGTAAAACCAGTAGAAAGGCATCGCAAGTCATAGAGTGGTTACCTTATGATTCAAGGTTCAGGTATGTGTTTTCTACAGATTTAATGGATAAACCATGGCGAGCGTGACTCTCTTTATGAATTCTTGGAAGCAATATACCTTGTCACGAGTCTTCATTGTTTCTTGGCTAAATGAACAAGAAAAATAATGTCCATAATTCAACATGCAAGTGATCCCACTCCTTGTACATTTAACTACTGTCCTTTAGATCTTTGCCAATTTCAGGTGTATTGTGGTGGTTATCTGATCTGAAGTTACTTTTGCGCATCTGTTGTAACTTGAATCGATTGACTGGTTTTAAAAAAAAATTTTTTTTTTTTTTTTTTTTGGTGATTCAAATTTTATTAAATTATCTGGGATTTCTGTTGTTGCAATTTAATTGTAACCTGGTGGAAGATGTGTTTGTTAGATAATGTCTCAATGGGACCACATAATTAAATGTGGTGTTATCATTTATAAGAAGCCTACAATTTAAGTGATTCAATTTAGTTAATAGGCTTAAGGGTATATGTGTTATGGACCTAATGTGTAGATACTTGTTGTATAATTTCTATTTCTATGAGGGGCAGAAATAGAAATTAAACAATAATGGTTAAAGTTGGTTTTCATTCCTTTTGAACTTCCACAACCTTTCAGTTTTGAAAACCAATAAATAGAAATTAAAACCAATAATGGTTAAAGTTGGTTTTCATTCCTTTTGAACTTCCACAACCTTTCAGTTTTGAAAACCAATTACAACCTTTAAAAGGTTATGGTCCCTATTCCTTCCCAAGGTGAAAAATATGAACACTGCAATTTGTTTTCTAAATCCTCTCAAGGAGAAACATAAGGCACCAAAGGGGAAAGGATTAGAAGGCAATAACATAATCAATAACAAAGAGTTCATTGATAATCATGCTTCCGTTTAACCGTTCATCAATGGATTCAGGTATGTCATTTTGTCTTGATTTCTTGATAATACACATGGTAAATGATCTAAAGTGTAAGGTTTATGTTCTGAAATTTATGTTAACAAACACTTCTTCCCCTTGTCTTCTCCAATTCTTTCACCATCCCATTCTATTGTTTGATGCCCTCTTGTGTTGCATATTAATGGGAAATAGGGTTTTTGATGTATATAAGAGTGTGGGTTTGATTTAGTGACTTTGCCTTACAAATTTGTCAAATTAGGCACTGCTGTAACTTCTTTAATTTAAAAGAAATATCAAATTTATTTATTTCTTCAATCATAATTTAATCTAAGCTATTTGGTGTGTTTAGAGCTTGTGGTAATTTTATTAGCCCCTAATTGTGTGTTTTTAGGGCTTGGATACTTTGTTTAAAAATCTGGTCCTGAGTCTCTGAAAAACAATCCACTTCTTACAATTTTATAAAATTCCAGAAAAATCATCTCAGGTTGGTTCTTTTATACAAATTTAGGATTTTGAGTCCTCCTTTCAATGGAATTTACTTGGGAGAAAATCATTGGGTAGATTGAGAGGAAAGCTAGTTTTCCCAACGGGTGACAAATCTGGATAGGTTTTCGAATATAGCTTGTAGATGAATTTCTGGAGGTGCGATGCACATTCTGTGAATTGGAATTGAAACTAGACAGGTTAATTATTATTTCTGGGCAATTTCAGCCCCTAATTGGACCTAGAAGTATTTTTCCCAAAGCACTCTTGTTAGCCCTGCAGAACCGAACAATGCTGGAAATGGTGTTTTGTTGTGTTGTTTGTCTCTAAGTATTTTAAAGCATGCCTAATGCTATTTGCTTGCCTTACCATACCTATGTATGATTACCATGGGCTATATTTCATTTCTTATGTTTGTCTCATGCTCTTTTATATTACCAAATGTGACTAGCTTGCTTGGCAAAAGATCTAATAAATGGGAATGGAAAGGGGTTGGTAATGGGTGACGTTCACCCTTGTGCTTCAGAATAATTTATGTAATAAACATGTGAATGGAATTAAAACCAAATGAGTTAAGTCTTGCGCAAGCGGTCTAAGCGAACCCCTAGGTTGACACGGATGTGTTCAGACTCTATGCGGTGGTTTCAGGGTGTAAGTGAGCCCTTTGATATGGTATGTGCTAGGTGTAAGCGAGCCCCAGGCACGATTTGATATGGTATGTGTAGGGTGTAAGCGAGCCCTCGGTACGATTTGGGTGTAAGCGAGCCCACTTGTTTGGCCGTCCCTTTTGAGGTCCATCAATGTCACTAACCGGTAAATAACCGGGAGGTGGGCATAGGTGGTAAGCTCTGCAGAGCAGCAAAAGGAAGAGTTCTGAATAGTCCAGTGTTCAATCCTTGTGGCTGGGTAGAAGGATCTCTTTGGGGGATTCTAGATGTCTAGTCTAACTATTAATTCGTAGACCCTTGTTGTAATATTGTATGTTATGTTACCTATTTTGTCTTATGTATGGTTGATTGGTTGATAGAAGATATGGGGGTGTGTATGTTTTTACTGGGTATTCCAAGCTCATGGCGTGTCATGCCAGGTGATGAAGCAGTTTACAATGGTGGAGGTTATTTAGAAGGCAAATAAGATGAAGTGTTGGAGCTGTGGTTCATTTGAAGACTTAGACTAGTTTTTTTTTTTTTTTTTTCCTTTTGACTTTTGGTTTGGCAATGTTTTGGTAATCCTGTAATGGAACATAAACGAATTACCTGTGATATTAACTTTGGTTATATATGTATATTAAGATGTTTTGGTTGTCTATCCTACTTGTGTTGTATTATTGTACGTATTTAACGGCCCGAAAGTTGGGGCGTTATAGGAAGTTAGGGTTTTAAAAAGGGAGAGAAAAGGAATGAAGAGTAGAAAAGGTATTGGGTCCAAATGATCTTGAATCGCTATATTTAAAAAGCTAAGATTGCGATGCTCGCTCGAGCGAAGGATTTGTTGCTCGAGCGACCAGACATAACAACTGATCTCGTTCGAGCACAAGAAGTTTCGCTCGAGTGCACAATTCAAAGCTTCAAGTCTGCCACAAAAGCAGACGCACGCTCGAGCGCAAGAGTTCTTGCTCGAGCGAAGGAACGAATACGCATGTCTCGCTCGAGCGAAAACTGCGTCTTAGAAAGAAACCTGAAGACCCTCAAAACTCGCTCGAGCGAAAGAAATCTCGCTCGCACAAAGAAGCAGATTTCACAAAGCTCGCTCAAGTGCAGGAAGCCTCGCTCGAGCAAGGAAGCCAAAATCTGGGAAGGAAATATTTGGACCACTCAATAACCGTCCTGTCCAAAACATGCCTAACACAATCAAAAGCTCAGATTCAAGAGTTAAAGGAGAAAAACGGAACACGGATACAATATTAAGTTGCAAACCCAAGTCCGGAATACGATGAAGGTCGGGTCCAAAACCCGGATCGTTATTCTTGCCATAACCAATGAATATGAAATCAACAGTTTTAGGACCTATCTTAGTCTTTTTAGGACTAGGAATAGCCACTTTAGCCAAACACCCCTACACTTTTAAGTTTTTATAGGATGGTACTTTCCCATGCCACATTTCATAAGGTGTTTGATTCACTTTCTTTCGGGGTACTTTATTTAGAATATAATTAACAGAAAGTAGTGTTTCCCCCCACAAGTTCTGAGATAATCCAGAACTTATTAACATGACATTAATTATTTTTTTTAAAGTCCTATTTTTTGCTTTACATAATTCCATTTGGATGAGGTGAGTAAGGAGCGGTGGTTTGATGAATTATTTCATGTTTTTTTACAAAACTCACCAAAAGGTGATTCATATTCACCACCTCTATCAATTCTAAGATTTTAAATTTTCTTACTAAGTTGATTTTCAACTTCATTCTTCTATTGAATGAAAGTTTTTAAAGTTGCATCCTTGGTTCGAATTAAATAAACATAACTATATCTAGTATAGTCATCTATGAAAGAGATAACGTATTTTTTTCGACCTCTAGTTTGAATTGAATTAAAATCACAAATGTCACTATGAATTAATTCAAGTGGTTCCGTACTTCGTTCAATTGAATGAAAAGGAGTTTTAGTCAATTTTGTCTCAATATAAATTTTACATTTATGATTTAAATCAATGTCAAATTTAGGTAAACATTCCATATTAATTAATTTACGCAAAGGTCCATAATTAACATGTCCTAGTCTACCATGACACAAATTTGAAGACTCAAGCAAGTAAAAAGAATATGTATTTTTATTAATAACAGAGGGTACAATAGTCATTACATTCATTTTGAAAAGGCCATCGAACATGTAACATTTTCCTTACATATATTTCATTTTTAGTAAGTACAAATTTATCACTCTCAAATAGTAGCCTAAACCCATTCTTACTCAACAGAGATCCAGAAACAAAATTCTTGCGAATGTCTGATACATGCAGCACATTATTGAGAGTGAGTTCTTTTCCAGATGTTATCTTCAGAATTATCTTTCCTTGTCCTTCAACTTTAGAAGTCGAGGAGTAGCCCATGAAAAGTTGTTCACCGTTGTCCACCACAGAATGAGATGTGAACATCTTTTTGTCGCACAGATGTGGCGAGTAGCACCAGTGTCTACCCACCATTCTTTGGGATTTTCGACAAGGTTTTCCTCGAAAACAATTACATAAAGGTTTATGCCATCTACACCATTGAAAATTTTGTCCACTTCGGTTATATTGGCTTGAGTAGGCTTCTTGCTTGATCTCCATTTGCCTTTGCGCTTGCTTCGACAATCTTTGGCCCGATGTTCCTCTTTGTCACAGATGTAACATTTGCCATTGAATTTGTACTTCTTAGTTTCCCCTCCTTTAGAGGCTTATGCGGAACTTTCTCTGGAATAGTTCCATTTCTTTGTTTTTGTTGCATGTTCCACCACATTTGCCTTAAACTCCATTCGATGCTTACCAGCCCGCATCTCAGAATTGTAGCTGTCCTCTTCAATCCTCAAACGCACAATCAATTCCTCTAAAGTCATTTCTTTGCGCTTGTATTTGAGGTAGTTCTTGAATTCCTTCCAGCCTTGTGGCAATTTTTTAATTAAGGCAGCAACCTGGAAAGATTCACTGAGAGACATGCCTTCTGCATGAATGTCATGCAAAATGAGTTGGAGATCTTGAACTTGGCTAATCACAGTCTTAGAATCAACCATTACAAAGTCCAGAAATTTGCCAATCACAAATTTCTTTGAACCAGCATCGTCTGTTTTGTACTTTTTTGTCCAAAGACTCCCAAAGTTCCTTTGCCGTCTTGATAGGGCTATAGACGTTGTACAATGTGTTATCAACTCCGTTCAAGATGTAGTTCCGGCAAAGGAAATCAGCATGTTTCTAGGCATCGACTGCGTCGACCACTTGTCAGTCAATTTCATCTTCTTTCA